GCCCCAACTAAAAAGGCACAAAGTAGAGCACACTTTTTTGCACCGTCAATTTCAAAGTTTTGCCATAAAGCTTTGCCAACAAATTGGGCAGCATTCTCCTCGCCAGCTGGCAGGGTAAGACCTTCCAAGCCTGGACCACAATCTGGACCACAAATATGTGCACAAATTTTGCACAATTTAGACCACAATCTGGACCACACTTTTCATGCCTCGATCATCACCCTCGAGCTCCACGTCTGAAACAGCAAATTTGTGCTCCAAATTGTGCTCACCTACAGTATTCTGCTCCTCAATGCTCTCAATAAAAAACTTAGGCCTGGGTTTGCAATTTCTTTGCCTTTTGGCAGAGCAGTGGCTCAAAGCTGGAACGCAATCTGGACCAGACCAACCCTGAACCCTGAACCCTAAACCCTAAACCACAATCTGGACCACACATATTTGCACAAAATTTAGACCACAATCTGGACCACAATTTTCACGCCTCGATCTTCGACCTCGAGCTCCACGTTTGAGACAGCAAATTTGTGCTCCAAATCGTGCTCACCTATTCTGCTCTCAATGCTCAATGCTATGCTCTCAATAAAAAACTTAGGCCTGGGTTTGCAGTCTCTGTCTTGTAGTTTCTTTTCCTTTTGGCAGAGCAGTGGCTCAAAGCTGGCCTGGCCAATTTGAAGATTTGGTGGCTGGTGCCAACTCCAACCCATTGGAGAGCGCGCATGGAGAAAAGAGAACGTTTGTTTTTGCAAAGTTGGGCGTGCATTTTTTTGTGGTCATGATTGTGGTCACTGTTAGTGAGCATGGGCCAGACACAAATTATATCCCGGTCTGAATTTCCACTAGAAAATTAAAGGTGCGTGCTGCAGGTTTATAGTTAACATCTTAATCTTCCCCCAGGGTTGAGCTATAAAGTCATGATCACTAAAATTGCATTAACATTACTAATTTTTTGGGGAGAGGATCACTGGCGGGTCAAAATTGAGATCACGATTTTAGAGTGAACTTTGTTTTCAGAAAGAAACAGTTTCTTACGAACTTCTAGAAGAGAAATTGACTTATAAGGGACCAGTTGCCAGTGTAAAATGTGGTTTTGATGTTATAGCACATGTTTTTTCCTCAGAGTTTATAGGGACCCACATGGACAACTTAAAAACTGATAGTTATACAGCAAAGTGAGCTAGTGCAAAAATAAGAAATTGATTTTATACACACATGAATTTTATAAAGAAACAAGTGGCCACTTCTAGAGAAAGTTTAACATATACTGTAGAGTGGTATATGTGTAAACGCATTCATTGTATTCGCGCCTTTGATCCATTTGGCGTCTTTCCGATTTCTTTGTGGTGACTGTTCAACCAACAAATAACTATATTTGTCTTGACAGGTTTGATGAGTTGATAGGTTACGAATGGCCGCCATGACACCACGCCCAAGCAACAAGGGACTGATGGGTGTAGGTCTCACTAGTGGCGGCGCGCCATACCTGTTTGTTCTCCACGCGGTTGGCCTTGGCTTGTTGGGTTGGAGCATTGCTGAGCAGAGGCAACTTCGTTATCAGGTTTTGGAGCTTCAGGCCACTTTTGAGCACCATCATTTGTTGTCGCCGCCAGTATCGACTTCAACCGAGCCGCCAACTCCCCCGCCGGTCGGCAGTCCCTCAAGTGCGCCAACTTTCCCGGATGCCGGCTTGAGGGTACCGGTTGGGGCTTGCTCTCGGGCTGACAGTGGGCTTTCAGGATTTGGTTTCTTCACATTGGGTCTTGTTTTGCTGGCGTTGTTGTTCATTGGTATTTTCATTGGACGGGGCCGTCATTGTACAAGGTCTGTTGAGGAGCCTGGAACGCCTCACTCGAAGCACCAGCTGGCACAGAGAACTGGCAGAGCTGCGATTGAGGAAGCATGGCTTTGACAAACCGCCAAGTCCTGATCGAGTATGATGTAGGCGGAGGCCGCCTACTTCATGAACGATATGTCCTATAGAACGACGCCTATGCAATAGTGACCCCGTACCTGGAGGACTTGACAGTGTTGAACTCCGATATACGGAGCATGATGATCCGCCCTGGCCCTGGGATTTTGCCTGGGAGGTGTGACAGCTGCTGAGGTTTATGCCTTACCGGTTTTCACCATCAACGACATGGCAGGTTTCAGGGACGACGCAAGGCGCCTCATCGATCTCCAGAGAGGGGCAGCGCCAGCAGTTGCTCCAGTGCCAGGGGCCGCGGCTGCTGCCGCAGCTCCGGCGGTCATCGCCTTCGATCCAGAGGCTGGGTTTGCATCGGGTGAGTTGAAGTGGTTGGCTGCCGAATGTTTGGGCGGATACAGCTATGGGCAAGAGGTTACATTGGTGACTCAACCGTTGGTCAAGGGGAGCAAGCATGTACAAGACCTCCCTGGGGGGCTACGCATTTTTGTTGAGTGTGTGGCAGGGGAGGACTATTTTGCCCGAAGCGGGGGTCCCTTCAAAGACCAAGCAGTGGGACGAGATGTTGACATTGGACCTACCTCACCAACAGTTCGTGGGTCCAGCTTTGTTCAAAATCCTGAGCCTTGCAAGTCGACCAAAGGACGACCAGGCTTTCAGGAGGAGATCAACGACTTCATGGACCAGCAGTGGAGAGCGCTGCAGCTCACCAGCCTCGGGCCGCCGCACCTCTACCGGCTGAGGCACGGAGGGGCGAGTTTCGAGGCAGCCGGGAAACACCGCGACATGGTGGGAATCCAGGCCAGGTCAAGCTGGGCAATGTGCTACTCTTCTTCTCTTGTCGAGTTTTGTTGATGGCACTTCACTATCGGATTGCCATGACGCTGGAGAACCCGAGGAGATCCCGTTTGTGGACCACCAGCAGCATCCAGCGTTTGCTGCGTCGGCGTGCGGCCTGCCTGGTTCATGTTGATTTTTGCATGTTTGGCACCCCTTGGAAAAACCCACGACGATGATGGGCATACACATAAATCTGGATTTGCTTCAGCCTCACCGTTGCATCAGCTCCAAAAGGGTGTGCTGCCTTTTGAGTGGGAAGCCTCATGTCCCTCTCACTGGCCACGCCCCAAATGGAGTTTGGTACACACAGCTGGCGGAACCCTATCCTTTGAAGTTTACACGGTTGTTGGCACATGGCCTTTTTGAATACAGACCTCGCAACCATTGCCCAAGATTTCAGTCGATACTTGGATTGACGGCCTAACCAGAGGGCTACACAAATTTGGGCGTCGCAAGTTTGGGCATTCGATGAGGAGGCCTTCGAAGTTCTTGTGCTTTCAGCGGCGCTGGAGACGAAACCGTCACCGGCAAGCGCCATGTGAACCACTGGCCAGGGAAAAGCGAGAGAACGGTTCATATTTGTCTTGACAGGTTTGATGAGTTGATAGGTTACGAATGGCCGCCATGACACCACGCTCAAGCAACACCCGGCCCTTGGCTGCCCACCCTTGCTTGGGCGTCGGGGCATTCGATGAGGAGGCCTTCGAAGTTCTTGTGCTTCAGCGGCGCTGGAGACGAAACCGTCACCGGCAAGCGCCATGTGAACCACTGGCCATGGAAAAGCGAGAGCACGGTTCATATATATAATCCCAGGGTAGAGTAACTCTGGCACACAGTTTTTATAAATCTGTTGTGTCTGTACAAGCCTTTTATGGACCTGTCCACCCCATTCTATAGTGACTTCATTTGGCTGTACTGTGAACTAAGGATGTCAGGTTTTTCCATAATTGTATTGATTTTATAGTTTTCAGTGTGTATGCAAGCTGCTGAACATGACATTTTATAGTGCAACTCTACCCCCCGAACCCCAACCCGGAAGGTTAAGTGCTATAAAATGGGGGGGCAAGTAACTGTGTAAATTCCCACGGGGATCATATTATTACTTTTTGATGCGTGGGAATTGCACACTTCATTGGTAAACTATTTTCTTTGGCCCACCCTGACAGGAGCAACTTTGCTTGGGAGATGGCCATTGGCGAGGAGAGAGACGCAACAGCATCCACATCGGCAGCAGAGTGTCTGAAGAACACTTCTGCTCTATGCGCGACAGCCGCGATGCTGCGCTGGCCATCTCAAAGCTGGTCGTGCCTTCTGTCCAAGTGGCTTTATCTCCACCGACCAATATGCTCACAAATACTGGAACCCTTCATCCATGAGAACAAATCTGAGGTGTGCTGTGAGTCTCACTGTGTGGCCGGTTTGCTGACCCAGCCGGCTGTTTGCTAAGTCAGGTCAGCTAGCATCTCTAAGGCAGGACTTAGAACGTGATCCCATTTTTGGGGATCGGCTGCCGGGTCTTCGCTTGGCTTTTATACAGGCACGATGGGGCCATAATGGTGCAATTCGGATTTCGCCACTCGCGTGATTACCGTTCTTGCTGGTGTGTTCTGTAGAAAACGTGGAGATGCCTGGACCCTTCAGGTGGCGCGCCTGAGGAAGTCACAAGATGTGACGTCCACCGAGTGCCCTGTGCGGCAAAGGTTGGTACTGCACTCACACGTGCTCACCATTCAGCCTCAAGCTAGGTACCCATGTCCACCCAGCCGAGATGCACAGGACATTTCTGTAGGCTCTCTAGTGTCAGCCCTAGTCGGGCATTGGCTTTGAAACCTATAGACTTTTAAAGTGGACTGGCACGTTTGCACTGTAACCTAGGTCCAGATCAAAGGCATTCAGGCTGGTTTGCTCACTTCTCATCTGTAAATGTGCATCTTTGTGCTTGTCAAACACGTATGTGATGCCAGCACAAGCAGTGTGTCCAACAGTGAGGTCTGTTTTCCAGCCGTTTAGGATCAGATAGATAGTTGAGGAGTGAGAGATTTATATCTCGTGTGGCTCGACTCTGTCTGTCCGGGTCCCCAAGCATTGCTTTGTTGCGGAGGTGCAGTGCTTGTGATTTTGTGTGCAGCAATTTCTGCTGCCATTTGCAGTTGCTTGTGCAATCGAAATGCTTCAGCCTGGCCATGGTCACCCACCATCCCCAACATTACCAGCTGTCTCATTGGGATGATGTGCAGCCATGGTGCCATCGCATGGGCTCATGAAGCCCCGAGTGACTTGGCAGTCAGATCTGTTGAGCTTTTGTCAGCTTCTGGTCCCCGGCTGCGACTTCACAGCTGCTGAATTTTCAGGAGATCACTGCTACAATCAGCTCACTCACCAAAACTGGCCGTTGGCAAGAGGTCTTGTCCCTGCTGGCAGATTTGCCAGAGACTGTCAAAGCCAATGTGACGCTGGGAGTTTCCGAGAAGTTTTTTCCTAGAAGAGCCTTGTGTATCTTCGTTTTGTGGGTTCAACAGGCACGAATGAAAAAAAACAGATGCTCGTTGATGGAACGTTGGCCGAGGATTATCTACTCATCGGCCATCAATGCTTGCGCGAAAGGGAAGCAATGGCAACAAGCCTTGCGGGTCCTCCTCGACCTGATGGAAGCCAACCTGCAGCCAAATGCCATCTGCTTCGGAGCAGCAATCAATGCATGTGACAGATGCGAAGAGTGGCTATGGCCGTTGGCCTTGCTGGACGACATGCGAAAGCTTGATTTGAGTGCTTCTGAGGAATTCTGCATCAATGCAGCCATGAGTGCCTGTGGCAAGAACCAGCAGTGGGAAGCCTCGCTGATTTTATTTGAGCAGCTTTCTTTAGCCGACGTCCAGATAAGCACTGTTACTTGCAACACTGCCATCAGTGCATGTGAGAAAGGAAAGCAGTGGCAACGAGCCATGCAGCTGCTCATTAGCATGCCATCGCTAAAGGCACTGCCCGATGTCATCAGCTTCAGTGCTGCTATTAGTTCGTGTGAGAAGGGACTTCAATGGCCCAATGCTGTGGCTTTATTGGACGGTATGAGCCTGGAAGCCATACATCCCAACGTGATTTCATTGAATGCAGTGCTTTGGCAAGGCAAAGGGTCCATCGAGTTGGATCTGATCTTCTGTGTTTTGACAGGCACCCACACACACATACTGTATCCCACGTGGTTCTGTGGTTCAATTGCCATAAGGTCATTGGAGCTTGCAGCTTCGATGCGTGGCAATGGGGGCTCCACCTTCTGAATAACATGGATTCATGGAAGCTGATGCCAGATGTGATCTCATTCAACTCAGCGATTGCTGCCTGCGGGACTGCTGCCTCCTGACCTCATGAGCTCGACCACATTTTTCATCCCATTCTTTGATGGTTGGTCTCTTGCATGTGAAGTGCCAGAAAGGATCAGAAAGGGACAGCCCCCATCCTCAGATTCTGCTGATCTGAAGCTGATGTGTCATGCAACTCAGGAAAAGTGGGATATGGCTCTGAGACTTCTCCACTCTATGCGTCATTCTCCTCGACCTAACTCTCGCACCTATAATGCTGCCATCGCTGCCTGCGAGCGGGGCAGTCAGTGGGAACAAGCATTTCAAGTGTACCCAGGTTGAATGATCCAAAGGGCTGATGCCAACAGATTTTGCAGATTCTTCAGGCTCATTTTGTCTTGAAATCGAGCTTTGACGGACCCTCATGGCAAAACGCCTTCACTTGATTTGGAGCCAAGCCCCGAGGCAGGAGCTCATGAAGACTCGGAAGGTCAAGGTGGATATCATCGGCTGCGGGTCTCTCATCAGCGCCTGTGAGAAATGCAAGCAGTGGTGTTGACCTGAGTGCAAAGCCAATGCCCGCATAGAGTCACTGGCACACCGCAACATTCTACAGTATGCGTAGTTCATGCAGACGCAATGTTGTCAGGGTGGTGTTGACCTGCTCCATGTTCATACTGTATTGCGGCCAAGGGATCAAGCGTTGTCCTTGCTCTGGCGGCATTCTTCACACCCACAGACGGGTATTGCGAACATGGTCCTGCGTTCGGTGATTGAATGGCAGATGGCCTTGGCTTTGCTTGGCCTCTTGAGCCTCGCCTACAAAATTTGAAGGTCTTGCTTTGCATTCCAATGTGCCACAATGGACGTCCAAAACTCAGTCAAACACAGACTTGCCCCGTGATTGGGGGCTTGGTTTTCAGGACCCAGCAGCTTATCTACCAGTTAGGGTGAGTTGCCTTTGTAGGCAACTGCGTGTGACCAGACTGTTGCGCCTCTCGCAGGATTGCCGAGAAACTCCAGACTGACACGCGCTCATACACCGCAGTAATCAGTGCCTGTGAAGCTTCGGCGTCTTGTCAAGCCGGGGATGGGAACATGGAGAACTATCGAGGATTCATGAAGTCTGTTACAGGGACCCCTATCAAGTATTGATCATCCAGATGGAGGGCTTTGGGCACTTTGGTTTTGAGAGCTGCCCAATTTCTAGTCGGCTGCCTCACAGCATGTAACTGTTAATTTCCTAGGCGCGGTGGCAAGAAATACTTATGCTTCTGGAGCACATGGGCAGGAAGCTTAGCCAACTGGAATTGGACCAAATCTTGTCACTGGAATTGGCCAAGGTGAGCAAGCCTTGACCATGGATGCAGTCGTGCACAGCCTGGAAATCAGTGTCGCATTGCTGCGTTTCAGGCATTGTTAGTGTGGTTTTTTGTGACTTCCTGTGTGGGTTGGAGTGAAGTTGAGAGCCTCAGGCATGTTTCAAAGGGATGGAGTGGGGGCGGGTGATGCATAGCCTGGAAGTGATGCGCAACAAGAGCTTGCAGCCTGATTTGGTGAGCCTGGGTTGCACATTTTGGTTTGGCATCAATTTGACATCAGGCTATATATAGGGTCTATTCAAATTCATTGATCAGCAACATCTTCACGGCATGTTTTACATTGGATGCACGACGAGGAACGTGAACACTGTGGCCTCTGCATATCAAAAAGCAACCCAGTGGCATTTGGCCCTGGCAGTTATGCAACAAATGCAGGAAGATGGACTGCAAGCCGATCCCATTACGTTTGCGTCCTGCATTTTGTCCCTTGGACGTGTTCACAAGTGGCGGCAAGCCATGCAGCTGTTTGATGAAATGCTCTTCAGCAAGGTGGAGCCAGGAAACACCAGCTGCAATGCTGTTTTGTCAGCCTGTCAAACTGCACAAGCATGGCAAAGTGTCCTCCAGATCTTCTTGAGCATGCCGGAATTACAGGTTCAAGCGGATGTAGTCAGCTATAACGTTTGTATCGGCTCGTCTGGCAAGGGGCAGCAGTGGGAAGGGGCTCTTGAGATATTGTCTCAGATGCTGCTTGAAAGACTTGAGGTGACCACTATCAGTTGCAATGCTGCCATTTGTGCATGCCAATTCGCAAGCCACTGGCAAGATGCTGCGCACATCCTTTCATCTATGCAGCTTCACGGCCCTGAGCCTGATTTGACCACCTTCCATGCATGCATGCCTGCGTTTGGCCGTTACCAGAAGTGGGAAGTGTCACTGGACATGATGGCCGACTTACAAAGTTCAAACCAGAAGCTGGACCTTCTGACCTACAGCGCAGCAATGTGTTCATGCCAGAATGCCCAACAGTGGATGCTGGTTCTGCAGCTTTTGTCTGAGATGTGCAGCTCTCAACTTCTGCCCGACCTGTTGTGTTGGACCGCCGCTCTGGATGCTTGTGGCAAGAGTTGGCAGTGGCAAAAGTCCTTGGGTTTTCTTCAAGACATGCGGTCACAACGTTTAGTTCCAGACACTGTTTGCTGCAATGCCGTACTGGGAGCTTGCCGGCTGCAGTGGCGCCAAGCAGCGGAGATTTTGTCGGTGATGAATGCCAAGGGTCCACGGCCCGATGCGCTTTCTTTAGAAACCTGTTCAGAGACGTGCGTAGCTTGCAATCAGCACTGCCCGGCAGTGACGGCACTGAATCAGATGCCCTTCACTGCCTTAGAGCTGCTGCAAGGTTGTCACGTCCCTCCAAAAAGGCGCGCGGCGCACGCGCTTACCTTCTGCCTGCCAGCTGCTGCGCATATTACGCTTCCGTTGGGCGTGTGCTTCTGTATCGTCAATGCCCAGGTCAACAGCCTGAGCTGGCCCCTTGCCACAAGGCGAGTGAGTCTAAGTCACTGCTGCAAGCGAAGCAAAGTTCGGTGATTTGTGCGATGGTCTCCACGGCCGTTCTTAAGAAGTATTGAAGTAGTATTGGTATTGGCTACATTTGGCTGCTAGTTGGGCAAGATGTGAAATTTCGAGGTGGAATCGAGCAATAGGTGGCGTAGTGGGTTGTCAGCAGTTGATCAGCATGGTCATGTTGTTTGTATGCATGGAGCTTTGCAGTTTCAATTCTTTCCAGATAGTTTGGCCCAAGCTTCATTCAGAAAGGTGCCCGGAAGAGCCGGGAGGGTATCACGGATGCTGTGGAAGTGCGCGCTTTGGCTGGGACAGAGGGGAAAGAAAGTAAGGACTTACTAAGGAACCCTCGAAAAAGGCCACCACCTGTAAAGGGGGCCTTACCAAAGGGGCCCTTTCCTTCTTCTTTTCGTCTCTTTAGTATTCTTTAGTAGCTTCAAGATGGAATCCCCCTTGTTGATTCCAGTGCCTTGGACTTGAGAATGACAAGCGGTGCTTAGGTGCTCTTTCTTCCTGGAATCCTTGCGAGTCTTAATGGTCGCAAGCCCGTGGAAACGGCACGCATCTACGGGAATGTGAACAAGCAACTTGGCCAGAATGCTCGACTATCAAGGTGTACGAGGTGAATTGACCGGTCTTGGAGATTAACCATGTCTGGAATTCATTCGATCTTCTTGAGGTATGCCTACTACTTCGCAGACCTAATGGTGGGAACTCCTCCCCAGCTCACCTCCGTGATCGTTGACACCGGAAGTCATTTGCTGGCGTTTCCCTGCGGGGGCTGCGGTGATAAATGTGGTCATCACCTCGCGCCTAAGCCTTGATTGGTAGACGCCGAAATCGACATAGAGAGATGGACTGATTCAGTGTCGAACGCACTGAGGAGCCGGCTGTGGATATCAGCAAGTCCTCTACTGCACACTGGGAGCACTGTGATCAGGTACCCGAGGAACAGGGGAGATGCAAGTGCTCGAGTGACAATCGGTGCAAGTACTCCGAGACCTACTCTGAAGGCCGGAACTAGGACCTAGTGATGCTGTTTTCATTTGGCTGGCTTCCTTCTGTATCATGATTGGCCTAGTGGTTGTCATTCTGAAGAAGGTTCACTTATTACGTGCCTCATCTGTGGCCTGCACATGCGCACCGGCTCCATGCTATTGATTGGCATGAGGGGGAGAACCACCGAACAGATTTGATACTGTAAGACATTCATCCCATTGATCTCAGATAGGTTTACCAAAAAGGGCAAGGATGATCATGGATGGATGTACCTTGATGATCCATGATGTGCTGATGTGCTGCCTAGACCTCTTCATGAGGCAGTGCAATCACTGGGCATTGGTTCATGGACAAGGCAAGGCTGGGCGACTCCTTCGAAAACAACACGGCGGTTGAGGTGAAGATGGGCTGCCACGACTCAGCACCCTGGTCTCAAGAAGAGGCTGTTGAGGTCTCAAGAACGGGCCCTCGCATGGAGGGAAAACTTGAGAGAACAGGGGATACGAGCTGGTGACAGAGTCAGAAGACGCCAAAGGTCGAGGGAGACAGAGCTTTCAACTGAAGCCCTAGAAGCCGTCACGCAAACATATCACTTGGGGTGAATGGGTCACTAAGGAGAACAAGCTCTTCTACACCCAAAAGGCGAATGGCATCATGGGGCTGGCACCAATTCTGCCAGCTGCTTGGGCTCCCCAAGAGGCGGGACTTGCCCGGAAATATGGCTGCCCAATCAAACACCGAAGTTCCATGGGTCCCAAGTCCGCTTTGCCCAGGCTGCCCGGGCGCCAGAGATTTTGGAAGACTTGTTTCGAGACTTGGTTGACTTTTGGACTCGTTTGTTGGTTGGCCTGATTTCGACAGTTCGCTGTCGCCACCCAGGACACAAGCAGCACATTGACTCGCGCGTATTTGCGCTCTGCCTGGGAAACTGGGGTGGGATGTTGGCAGTTGGTGGGCCCAATCATGACTACCATCATGAAGGCCGCGCCGAGCTGAAGCCTTTTGCATCCTTCTTTCTATTGAGCAACAATTCCTTCAACAGTGATATCAATATTACATATGCCGTTTCACTAATTGTACAAAGCACTTGACGGCGGAGGCATCACCTGGATTGGGATGTCCAGCCTCGGCTGCACGGCTGCATTGATATTTGGTCCAATATGGTCCAATCTTTGTGGTGTTAGCACGTCCAAAAGCCATGTAGCAATGCTAGCCCATGTGAGCAAGCATTGCGTGTCATTAGCAATGTGCATATGTGTGCCAAACTGCCCAAGTTGCTAAGGCTACTATGTTGTGCATCCCAGTCAATTTCATGTTGATTCTTTGGTTGTCGCTGCCAGCAGCGATGAATTCGGAAAGGCAATCATTGACAGTGGCACTACGCTGTCCTACTTTCCAAGTCAAGTCTTTGCGCGGCTGATCACGAACATCGAGACCTACTGTGGCACACACGAGTCATGCCATGCAGGCAAGGATCCAACCAATAGCCATTGTTGGCGGCTGAACGATCCTAGTGCATCGCCTGAGGGCTTTCCCACTTTGCATTTGAAGTTTGACCAGGGCGCTGAAGTAGTCTCATGGGAGCCTGCATCCTACCTGAGCGAGCGGGGCTATGGAGTTTGGTGTTATGCTATCGCTGAAAGCCAGAATGGAGACACAATTCTTGGAATTTCTTGGATGCTACACCGAGACACGATCTTTGACTTGGGACAGAGGCGGATCGGCATGGCCTCAGCAGATTGTCCACGCTACAAAGAAGTCCCCACTTCTTTATGGCAACGTTTGGCCGTCACATTGTCCCAGCTTGGCGTGAAACCTACCATGGGACCGATGGTCTTGGGCAGTGTCCTGGTGATCTTCGCGCTTTTCAGCGTCAGATTGTTGAAGGCGTTGCCCTGGGTGTCGCGAGAACCAGTGGTCTCGCATGAGACAATCTTCAGTGCAAGACAAGTAGAGGCCGAATCACTCGAACCTTCGGACATGCGGGCGCTTTTGAGAGCTGCTTAGAAAGCAAATGAAAGCAATGCTTAGAGCTGCGGGCCAATTAAGGGCACTTTCCAAAGGAAAGCGTCGGAAAAAAGCTCCAATGGAGCTGAATAGAGTTCAAGCACATGTCTCGTGACGAGAAGTGCCAGCTCGCCCAGACCTCAGCTTTTTCTGGATGCATGGGTTTGACTAGACGGTCATTGTGATTGACTCATTTTGACTCCGTTTGTGCAAACCAGAAGAGCCGATTTGTTGGAAGATGTCTTTATGGCATCTACTCTTAGACGCCGGTTGGCCTTTTTCTCCGAGCCATCTCCCTCCGGATGTGCCCACCTTGTCGGCACAGCCTGAAGTGAGAGTTGAGCCAAGCTCGTACAAGAATGTCTTGGCAACTGGTTTTGTGCCGCTAGGGCTGAAGGGACGTGCAGCAGTTCTACCGGTCAATGTGCCCGAACACTCCGCAGATGTAAAGAAATGTAAAGAATGTTAAAGAACTTGACACCCAAACGATGAATTTTCATGTGTTCTCTATAGTTACTATAGTTTCAGGATTTTGAACTGCGTTGGCCCCTGCTACACTTATAGCTTAGGCTTATATATATACTTCGCAATGACGAGAACATCAGTGTTGGTGACTTATGCCTCCCTTGAAGAGGGCGGCATGAGGCGTCAGACCAGTGAGAAAAATGACCGCGGCGATGCCAGGTGATGATCAGGTTCCCCTCACAAAGCCATGGTCCTTTTTTGGGTAAAATATGTTGAAATATCATTGCTCGCGCTGACGTTTTGGCCATCGGAGTTTTGGATGCTTGAGCGGCTGGACCTTGGTGGCAAGCTCGCTCAAGTTGCTCGAGCGATCAGGTGGCCCATTGGACGAAGCTGCCGATCACCAAACTGACAGCTGCTTTGTCTTTCTTGTGACGTAGCGATGTGAGGCACAAAGCAACAGGAAAATGGACCTGTCCGTGCGCCCTTTTTTGCCCCGCTCATTGTGCGGCAGCCTTTCCGGCTTTCAGATCTTTGGGAACTTGGAAATTGCATCTACCTGACTATCTTTAGGTAAGGTCCATGTACCCGACTCATCCAGCCCTTCGCGGCCATTTCACCGGTCCAGAGCCGAAGATCGGCCGAAGGAGGTTTCACAGGCCGAAGCGAAGGGGCAAATCACGAGGCGCTGACGGCACCGGATTTCGTGAAACGCAGGGCGAAAGGCGAAAGGAGCTTTGAAAGCGCAGTTGGAGGTAGAAATGACCTGGGAAATCCAAGAACTACGCCAAAGACTCCAACACCGCCAAGCGATTCTCATGGTGGTTCTATTTTTTGCCGTGCTCTTTGGCCAGGATGTCATGGGGTCGCTGGGGCCGATGCTTGGTTATGCGGAGGAGCATCGTTCAGTGCTGCAGGCAAACTTCCGACCGTCCATCCAGGTGCTTGGCTATGTATGTGACCAACCCAGACGAATCCTAGGTTGGCTACTTCAAGCGGTCAGGTATCAGTTTTGTTATGTTTATTCTGTATGACTAAGCATTTCAGTGACATATGTCTAAGACTTCTAGGGTTTAATGGCTTGGCAACTTCAAGAGTGCCGGGGAGCATGTTGAGCGACATGGACCGCTCCGCTGGTCGTGGCTCCAGTGACCCGCCATGGATGGCGCGGAGAGGCTCATCGAGGTGCTTTCCACGGCATCTCACAATGGGCTCATCCATCGAGGACCGTGTTCGATCACCGGGCGTGGTGACCCCGGAACCCCCCCCAACAGAGAGTCAGTGTGTGGGTGGGCGAGTGAGTGAGCAAGGGAGGGAGGGAGAATGAGAGTGAGAGTGAGATGTTTTGCCCATCGGTGTTCAAAGGAGTGAGTGAGTGGATTGTATATATATATATATATTTGCACATAGGGGAGCCACTCTTGGTGCGATAAATAGCGATGGCTTTGGACATGAATTATCCTGATGTTCTTCTTCTCGCTCTCTCTTAATAGGGGCTGTCCGTGGCCAGTCACAGGTATTCATGTGGTGTTCCCAGTATGTATGCCGGGTGTGATCTTGTTTTTTCACCCCTGGAAGAAAGGATGATCTGTACACGGTTCTTTTTGCCTGAAAAGGCCTTCTGCAAAATCTCTTGAAGCGCTTGTCCATCAATGCGCTGGAATTTGAGATGCTCTTGGCCGGGATGGATGGAGGGGAAGCTGATGGGATCGAGCCTCGGCCGAGGTGGCCGTGGATTCTCAAGTAGCTGAAGAGGCCAAGAAGCTCTCCAAGGAACTGTTCATATTGGTATCATATTGATGGAACTTGTCAGAAAACCCGAGGATGTCTCCTACTTTATCAGCTTTCTCTACTCAAACGCTGAGCCGGGACCCCAGGGCTTTCTCGAGATAGATGCCCTGTTAGCAGTCTCAACCACTCTATGAATGGGCCCACATGCGACACAAAATGTAAGGGCCGGCCGGCACGTCTAGATGTGTAGAGAGTCATGTCCAATGCTTTTGTGAAAGGGCTTTGGAAGCCAGTCACTTGATCCAAGGCCCGAGATCAAAGTATCGCTGAGCTCAGAGGCCTGGGATTTGTGGGACCTGGGATTGGTTTTGAACATGGGGGAGTCTGTCCTTTGGCTTTCATGGGGCTCCATGTGGCATTCTGATCCTGAGAGGGGGGCTTTACAAGGTGATCGCATATGATCCCGTGGTATTTGCACATGTCTGTTGGCTGTGACCCTATAGTCCCTCCAAGCTCGCTGTCAACCTCAGCCACTTACGAAAAAGGTGGCAGCAATGTGGTGCTGACAGCTCTATGTAGCTTTCAGATACCAGTACTTGCAGTGCATTCGGCTATTTATAGTCTATAGATGTCTATAGCCTATTGCAGTGCCACTGGCTATTTCAGTTTTGTCAGTCTTTGCACAAGGTCGACTCAGTTCATGTCTTTAGATTCTTTAGATCTGTATTGACTTGACGTTCCAGGTGCACCAAGCGAAGGGCCGAAAGGTTTCATGGACAGACTCCGAAGAAATGAATTTGCCTTTGGCGACCCAGCTGAATGCGATGCAGGGAAATAAAATGACATACAGTTAAAAGGTATGATGGACAAAACAAAGAAGACTTCAACATCAGGACGCCACTAGGGGCTCCTGGCCTTGCTACTGGGAACAAGAAGCTACTACTAGGAGCAAGGACACTACTAGGGCGTCCTGACGTTGAAGTCTTCTTCAATTCTGGTGTCGTTTGACATGGGTTTACCATGGTTTACCCACGAATGCCCTCAAAAGGGCCGGTCCGGGGGTCCCTATTGGATACCTAGCGCCTGCACCACACCAAGGCTCATCGAGATCGTTTGGCTTTCCATCGGACGCTCACAGCTGGTCGCATGCCCACTCTGAGTCAAATCGATGATTATTCTGAAGCTGGGCTGGTAAGATTTTGAAAGGACTGGGATTGTAGGGTGCTGTGCCGCTTACCCGCTTTTTGCAAAGATTTGTTTTGTTGAGGATGCCATTGCATTCCATACCATACGACGCCATACGATTTAGCTAGGCTTTGTAAAAGGATAGAGGCATGCTTAGTCAGCGCTTTTAGATGCTCACACAGGTTTTGTCATGTTTTGTCAGCGCCTTTCTTGGCGGAACCACTTGCAGCTTAGGATGGCGACAGGGACTCCGTGAAAGAACTCGAACCCGGGGAGGCCCTAGAACTGGGAACCAGCATGGAATTTTGTGCGGTTGTGTTTTTTTTTCCAGGCAAAAGATGTGAACAAAAAGGTCAAACATCATGAATCACATCACATGTTTTTCCCTTTAAAACATGTCGGCAAGCTTCTCACCGCTTGTGCCATGCACCTGTTGTTGAGGACCTGGTTGGCCCAAAGGCTTCTGACTGCCCGTCCATAGCTGACTTTGGGAATTTGCGGGCAGATGACAGTGATGTGGAGGAGATTTGTGAACGATGAATGCGAGAAGCCAAGGCAGCCAAGTGTGGGGAGAAAACCGAGCGTAGCCTGAGTAGTCTTCGTTGGGTTAGTCACTGGGCTGTGCAACACGCCATCTCGTACGTGTTGTAGCTCGTGAGGAGCTGGAGCCTGCTACTATGCTCTCCCGGCGTGGAGGCCTTCAAACCCTCATCATGTCATCATGCTGAGCCGTTGAAACTGCTATTGCTGGGGAAGGTATAGGAGAAGCCTTGTCAGGTGTTTGCAACAAATTCAAGGGAGGTTGACTTCATATGTGTTATATTTTGTTATTCTTCATCCCATTCTTGCTCGACTTGACAACTTCCAGCATTGCTAGACCAGGTGTTTCTGCAGTGCCCACGGGCGCATTTGCTGCACGCTTTGCAAGGGCCTCACCCAAACAGAATTTGTTTGAGCTTCTGTTCTTTTTGCTTCTGGTTCCCTGCCGTGCTTTTTGTGATTCAATTGTTCAGGTCAACTGGGTCAGCCCACATCTTGATAAGAAGGCGGAACACCATGACATTTTGCTGGAGTCGCTTGCGCACTGCCCCTTCTTTGTAGCGCCTTGCCATGCTTTGCCGCAGCGCCAACAGAAGCACTCCCCCCCCCACGGCCCCACGCCCGTGAAGAACAAGGAACGTCGGAACCAGTTTCCAAGTGAGATGCGTTTTTCAGATGTCTGTATTTTTGTTCAATTCTTGTGCTGGACATGGTGATACATGGTGTGCCTGGTTCGAGCGACCAGTGACCACAGTGCTGAGTAAGAACAACGAGTCATGCAAGAATAAGGAGCTGGATCAAGAGATTCTGCATGCTTTAGTTCCTTGGCTGGTGCAAGCACCTGTGAGCACACTAAGAACACCTAATTTAAGAACTGTAAGTTAGGTTGAGACTTGAGTCGAAACATGTCGACACCAAAAGTATGTTGTCCCCTTCCGTGGGAGGAACAACCAGTGGACTGAGAAACCTCCCACCGAGGTCGACACCATGGAGATCGAGGAGTTCGAACCAGGAGACGCAATATACAAGAAGGGCGATGTTGGAAGAAGTGGTGCGGCCCTGAGGAAGAAGCCATGGATGTGGAAAGCGTTTTGTGTTTCAATGCGTGGCGGAACTGATGGGCTTGGGGCAAGCAGCGACCTGCAATGGACACTGCAGTAGTTTCTGAGGTTATGTGATGATTTCTGGCTCCGCCATTGCTGAGACAGATGCCGCAGAGGCCAGCAATTTGCTGAAGCGTTCCTCACGCTCCGAAGTCCATGTGAAGCCTGGCGACTTCTTCGGGGAGCACACCATGCTCTGGGGCTTCAAACGGCGCATGATGGTGCGAACGGTCATGCGGACCGTGGTGGGCAAGCTGAAACGAGACGTTTATTTCAACATCGTCACACGCTCCGCAATGCATGAACGGAGCCAAAGAGAAAAGTACTTGCGGAACAACGTTCCCATGTTCGAAACGTTTGACGATGAACTGATTGCGAAGATTGCGGATATCATGGAGCGGCGATCGTATGTGCCCAATCAACGGGTCGTGGAGCAAGGCGACGAAGGCTCAGAATTCTTCATTGTACTGAAGGGTGAGTGCGTTGCTTCCATTCGAATTGCTAAAGTGGGTTGTGATGGGTTTGACGAGCATCCAGTTCGACACTACAGCAAGGGCGAACGCTTTGGTGAGCTGGCATTCATCAATCATACACCTCGAGCGGCTACAATCACTGCGACGACTCACACACAACTCTTGTGCTTGGACCGGATTGTTTTCGAGCGGGTGGTCGGTGCCTTGAAGAAAGACAAATCAAAGAGAAATCACCAGCGACAGGATCAACCTGGACATGTGTGTTAATAGTACATTTTTGTCAAGTTGTTGTAATTGACATCTGTCTATCTCTCTCTCTATATGTTATGCATGTGAATATTTGTGCGCGCATGTCTAGCTCCCCGTTTCATTGGGACCTT